TACATCTATTTGTTCTGTGCTACCAAATGTTATGCCAGTGCCTTAATTGGTTTTGTTAGAGTGAGCTTGAAGCCACGGGTATATGAAACAATTAAAATGTTTTGGCATTTTTCATCAGTCACTGGAGCATCGTAAATTTTTGATTGGCTATGTGATGAACATATTTACTGAGCACAAGTAGATGTGATTTATATGAGTTCAACTAGAGGATGGCAAAGAAAATGCAAGTATGTTTGAGGTTAAAGAGAAATGTATCAAACATCCAGTCATTGCTATAGTAGCTAAGTGTTGAGTCAAGAGGGAAAATAAAGGTAAATTTAACCTTTTCCTCCATATAATCATCACTAGCTTTACCTATTTCACATTTTTAGCTAAGCGATTTTTAGATTGGTTTTGCGTTGTTTTCTAGCTGTTCACTATTTGTTTCTATTAAATGTGTAGGAATTTATAGAACGGGTCCGTATTTTGCCCCTATACTTGTCATCTTAGGTCTGTGGGAGTATCATGTAAAAACAGGTACTTACAATTCTGGGCTTGAACTAAACTGCTAAAACAGTTTATTTGTAACCAAGGATCACCCAGTTCATCTTCTTTTTCAGATGTAACATGTACTGGACCGTGAAAACAGCTATGACAAAGAGCTTTCTTTGGAGCCTAAGTCATATTGCCTGCTATCTGGAGCATCCTCTTTACATAGCCTGTCACCATGATTCTAGCTCCATCTGATTGGCACAGAGATTGATCATGGAAAGAAGCGAGCCTATGTAGAATGTTACTTCCTAGCAGAGTGCCCAGGAAAATGGTGCCAAGGAAAACCCAGGCAGGTCCTTTGCACATGGACACATGAGATCATGTAGTGACCTCCTCCCAGAGAAGGCTCTTACTAATAAGAATCTTTCCTTTTTACTTATTCGCTTTCAGCTTCCTTTGTGGCTTGATAACTGGGTGCAAGCTTCACCCTGACATCTTGATTTTAAATATATAAAAGGGATTTTCGTGGTCTACCCTGTACCCCAGGCTCATTGGTATATTCTCTGCATGTTTCAGGTGAGAGCTAGGTCAGTTCCCTGTGAGATCAGGATGTGAGTGGAGGAGACTATGTCCCTTTCTTGACTCTTCATGTCCTTCTAGAGATGTTCTGACTCCTTCTTACCATTCAGAGTTGGAACCAAAGAAATCAGATTTTATTCTAGAAACCAGCTGCCAAACCTTGAAATCCCCCAGCCTCAGGCTGGGTGGCAGTGATGGTCAAGTGCAAAGGGGCAGTGTTCTTCCCTGACAATACTGAAGTCATTGCTGAGTCTTCTCCACATTCTTAGGAAGTAGACAAGTTAGTAAGTAGTTACCTTACTTCTATACCGACAGAGGAACTGGCAAGAGAATTAAACCTCTCAGTTTCTGGGGCTCTCGTTTAGACCCCACCCTGTGTTGTCATTCAGGCTCCTGGCCTTTGCTCTGTTCCTGGCTCATCCCAGAGGAAACGGGTCAGACTCCATCACCTGGTTGGCCTGTGAGTTCTCCCCCTCTTTCCCAGTCTCTCCTTGTTAATTATCAGCACAGACAACCCCCATGTGATAAGACTCTATAAAATCCTCCCAGGCCTCAAGTGATGAGGGTAAGAACTAAAAAAATATCTCTGCCGTGGAAGCTAATTATGTATTTTTAATTAATTGTTCCAATTAGTCCCACTCTTTTCAGTTATGTTACTCTATAACAATGTCAGCTGGGATGCTTCTGGAAGTAGAAATTTCTGTAATGGTCAGGTACTCGTCAATTAAAACTCTTACTCTATGCAATTAGCTTTTTGTGTTTTCATGGCAACGTTGGGGTGTATGAGAAGCAGCATGGATGCAGCTTACTCTAGAATGAATGGCATCAATCCATTTCTATCCTATAATTTTGATAGTGTATATATATTTTATTCTAGAGAAAAGTCAGCTATCAAAGATAGTACAATTAATGATGAAATAATTGTAAAAGACCTAGTCTTGCCCCTTTATTTATTAAATTTTGTAATGTAAAATTGGACAAACAAATAATAATAGCAACAGATGGTGTATAGTTAAATATAGTATATATTTGGAGGCAAATGGCTTTCAAAGATTTCAACTAAGCACTTTGAAAGCGTATTTAACATATTATTGTCACGGCTATTTGTGATTAGCATATTTATTTGGTCATTAGAATCAGGCTTCTTCAGGATCACAAATAAGAAAGAAGAGGATAGGCTGGTTTTAGTTACCTACCTGGGCCTCCTAAAACTTTTTTATCTCAGATATTCAGGATTTTCCTTCTGTAGCCTAAAATTTTATTGTACAATAAAGTTGGCTTTCAAATAGAGCTAAGCACAGCATGACAGTTATTGCATGATTATTTAATAATTAGAATTCTTTTTACCACAGTCTGTTTTTCAAACATATTATGAACCATTACAAACATACAGAAAAGTACACAAAACATAAATATATAGCTCAATGGTTACTCATGAAGTAAATATCCATGTAAGCACACCAAAGTCAAGAAGTAAAATATTGAGAGCAGCCCTTAAGTCCTCCTCATGTCTCTTCCCAGTCACTCCTTGTGCCTCTCAAAAAGCAACTACTTTGAAGCAATTTCATTCGGCATTCATTTTCACGTTTTGGGAAGATGGCTGTTGGTCTCGTTGCTTCTTTAAAAGCAATTTTCTTTGTATGCTAACTGCATTTAAAATTTCTCTTTGTTTTTAGCTTTCAGCAGTTTTACTGTGATTTGCCTAGTGAAGTCTGAGGCGAGGACTTCCTTATTTATCCTATTTGGAGTTCACAGGACTTCTTGAATCCACAATTTATTGTTTTTCATCATTTTGGAAAATTCTCAGCCACTGTTTTTTTTTTCTTTTTCTTTTTTGGGGTACGCGGGCCTCTCACTGTTGTGGCCTCTCCCGTTGCAGAGCACAGGCTCTGGACGCGCAGGCTCAGCGGCCATGGCTCGCGGGCCCAGCTGCTCCGCGGCATGTGGGATCTTCCCAGACCGGGGCATGAACCCCTGTCCCCCACATCGGCAGGTGGACTCTCAACCACTGCGCCACCAGGGAAGCCCTCAGCCACTATTTCTTAAAGTGTTATTTTGGACTCATTTTTTTCTTTCCTTTCTCTCTAGGATTCTGGAAGTATGTTGGAGTTTCTCACTATTTTTTCTACCCTCTTTAAAAAATATTTTCCAACTTTTTGTCTCTGTATGTTAAGTATTTTTTTTTCTTACTTTATTCACTAATTTTAGTTCATTAAGTCTTTTTTCAATTCTGTATAAATTGCTCTAAACTGATCCATTGAGGTCTTAATTTTGGTTATCGTATTTTTTGATTCTAGAATTTCTACTTAGTTCTTTTTCAATTTGAAATGTCCTTTAAAAATAAATTCTATTCTGTGCTGAATTCATAATCTGGTCTTTTAACTCCTTAAAAGAGTAAGCATAGTTTTGTTTTTATGCTTTCTATATTTTGTTGCTATTCATGACATACCATACTTTGATGAATGTCAGAAAGATGATGTGATGTTTCCCTAGACAATGGTATTCAATGTGTTATTGATGTGGTGATATCAAAAGAGCCAACTAAGATTCTCTTTGGATTGATCCATAGACTTTTTTCTTTTTGTCATGAAAAATTCACAGTCTGTACTGAAGTAGAGGAAAATGTATGAGAACTCACAAGAATCCATTACCCAGTTTAAACAATTATCAACATTTAGCAACCATAGTTATCTTAAAGTTCATGCCTGATAAATCTAATACCTGGATCCACTGTGGGTCTATTTCCATTGTCTGTTGGCTCTATATCTCTTTTTCTTGTCTTCTTGCTATTATTTCTTTGGGTTTCAGAAACTGTATTGAAAAATTATTTGTAGAAATAATTTGATGTGTAGGATAATTTCTTTCTGTAGGGAAGATTTATGTTTTCTTCTGCTACATGCCTGGCAGCTCTTGAATCTGGAATCATCTTAATCCAATTTCAGGGACGAAGATGATTCAAAGCTGAGCTGAAACTGCTGCAAGAACCAGTCTCCTTTGGGGCACTCTGTTAGGGTGACCTAGGCTCTCTTACCAAGTCCAAGACTACAACATTTGTGATTTTATCTCCATGAAACTGCTAAAAGTGCTGCGTAGCCCTTTGGCTGCCTCTTCCTGAATTGGTAAATTCTGTCAGAGGAAAAACCCAAACATTAGATCTTTACCATCTCATTAACTGTCCAATGCTTTCAAGCAGAATAAATATATGTGTATTATGAATATGTGTGTGTACATTAGTTATCCTCAGAAAGAAGATTGGTCCAGATCTGCTGGTCTTCCATTACTAGAAGCAAAAGCCTATTCTACACATCTTAAACAATCTCTCATCCTACAGTCTTTTTTACTAATCATTTTTAAAGGACAACTTGAATTGTAATATACAATGATTGCTTATGGATTAATTGATTTCTATATCTACCAGTAAGAATTTATTAACCGCTGTTTCTGTAAGCTGTTTGTTTACTCTCGGGTCCTTTTCTCATTCTGATTTGTGTCACAATACAGGCTCTCTGACTCTTTGGCTTCCAAGTAGGTGTACCCAAAGAAGGCCCTGGTAGAAAATTGGAGGGTGAGAGTAGGGCAGAGATGTCAGGGTATTCTTACCTCTATTTTTGCTTCCTTTGGTGTCTCTGGCAGTAGCTGGGTCTCCTTCATGGTCTAGCTCTTACTGAAAGGCTCTGGCTTCTGGGTTGTGGTAACATATCTCCTCCCATTGTTTCCCCCACCCCTAAAAACGATAGAGTATTCCTACAGTTGCTAACCTGTGGGTTGCCTTACTCTTTTTGGCTTCTCAACCCTTCTCTCACTGTGTAATCAGTGATACCTCTAAATTTACCTCCAAATTCCCACCATATAATAATACCCCCTATTTTAAAGACCTAGCGCAGTTACTTTATCTGTCTATAGGGTTTTGTTACAGTACGAAACGTGTAATACGCAGTACTTATCCGCAGGAAAGGTACAGTCTTGACAAGGAACAAAAGACGTCTGTATATGAAGAAATGACAGATGACCATGTGTTAAGTGTCAGCTTTGATGGATTTACACAAGAAGGCCAAAGCAACTCAAGGAAGGGAGACACCCCTGGAATCCTCAGGACCTTTTGGTGGAGGTAAGTCAGGTTGTGTGGTAGAATAGAATAGAAGACTCTCCAGGTGGAGCTGAAATAAGAAGTTTCTGGAAAACAAAACTCTAGATCAAAATCTGCATGGAAAAGTAGCTTTTGAAATTATTTTCCATTCAAACTAATGACATATATGAGTAACTTGGTGATTCTTGTGCATGCTTTGAAAAATCTTTAAACTTCGAAAAACCTTTAAAACCAATGTGACGGCATTTTCTCTTTTTTTTTAAGATTTAATTTTATTTATTTTTGGCTGCGTCGGGTCTTCGTTGCTGCGCATGGGCTTTCTCTAGTTGCAGCGAGCGGGGGCTACTTTTCATTGTGGTGCACAGGCTTCTCATTGCGGTGGCTTCTCTTGTTGTGGAGTATGGGCTCTATGCACGTGGGCTTCAGGAGTTGTGGCTCGTGGGCTCTAGAGCTCAGGCTCGGTAGTTGTGGCGCACAGGCTTAGTTGCTCTGTGGCATGTGGGATCTTCCTGGACCAGGGATCGAACCTGTGTCCCCTTCATTGGCAGGTGGATTCTTATCCACTGTGTCACCAGGGAAGTCCCTGTGATGGCATTTTCAATCTCACTTTACACATTTGGTCTTACTAGTTCATAAACTTGAGCTTCACTGGAAATAACCCTGTCATTCACTGCAAACAAGTTCTGTCATTTCAGATGCTACCAACAGACAACCGATTGAAAACTGAGCGATGAGTGGTAGTCAAAGAACTCTTGAGCAGATACGTAGTTTTCCAGTGAATAAGGGTTCATGATGGGTGCATGATGAAATGCTCTTTCTAAGCCAGGATGTGACTCTACTTTTGGGTGGACTGAGGCATTTGAAGTAAGTTGGGGGATAGAAGGTGTTGTGTGAAACCAATTATTTGTATGTGGATTGTTATTCTGGAGCTCATTTTTATCGGGTTGCCAGGCTGTGGTCAAGCCCAGTGCTGGGGGATGAACATTCCTCTAGTTTGGTGTATACTGTTTCTGGGCAGTCAGTGGAAAGAGCATTGAATTTGGAGTCAGATCTAACTTGGAGACCCCTCTTGGATCTTCCTTGGCTCTTTGATCTTGGGGAAAGCATTTAACTTCTTGAGTTTCACCTTCCTTATCTACAAATTATTAAGAGTATTGCAATCTCGTAGGAGACTGTTGTAATAATTTAGGTGAAAGTGCTTAGTAAACTCTTACAAATGTAGCTATTTCTTGCACAAACATTTGAGCTGCCCCACTATGTCTAAGCTATTGTGCTTGGCCAGGTTAGAAAATTTGCTGGGGGAGAGATCGTAGGCACCTAATGGTACTTCTACATAGGACCTTGTCCTTATAAAACAGGCAAGGGAGAATCACATAATTTTCTTTCTTGCTTTTTTATTTTTCATTTTTCAGTTGCCACTCCTAAAACTGACTTATAGAATATTTGCATTCATTGTACATATTGCTCACACTGTGTGCTTGGCTCTGCTCCAAAGGTGGAAGTTGAAATAAATGTTCCTATTATAACTAAACTCTATCTCCTTCCCTCTCTTGTATCCTGGAGTCCTTATAATATATACACTGCATAAAAGGCACATGAAATAAGAAGTCATTATTTGCAAAGTACATTTTTTTCCTCTCTGGGGCCTTATTAGCAATTGACAATCTTAAAATTTTATCTCCCAAGCAGGGTCCTCATCAGGTATTCCTTGACTCCATTCTGTTAAGCATCTTCACCAATCATTATTAAGCCACCTACTAAAAACCAGGGGAAAAAAAACAGCTCAAGGGAGCCTCCCCCGACCCCTACTGCAAGCTAATAGCTTCCCCTATCCAGAACAAATGCTAAAACTGGTCAGAAGTCACATTATTTACTCTCAGAATAATAGTCTTTTGCAGTTTATGCTTATCTTGTCACCCAACCACAGTAATAATATGTTTGACATGAACTGCATACTAATTACTTTTATTATTCCAGAAGTTTCATTAGCAACAGTCCTCCCTTGCCCCCAATACTCCCAAACTCCCGAATGTCTAAAAATACCGTCTTAACTATATCCCCAAAGACAAAATAAATTCCAGCATACACATTTTATATTTGTTCCTCCACCTCGCTCCCACCCTTGCCGAATCTTTCAGCCATCACACCAAAAATGCTAAAAGTCAGAAAGAATATCATTATGATTTCTCAAAAAGAGCGCTTACTCTGAACTTAAGAAGACTTTAAGAATCTTCTCTTAACTCAGACCTGAGAGACAGTTGGACACTTTCTCCCTTCCTTAAGACAAACAAACAAATTATGGTCTGTACAGATTTTTAATTTTATTAACCAGTTTTCAGCTTTTAGAAGCCTAGAAAATAAATGTAAATACCGAACTTCTGAATGCCAAGATTTAACTTGGAATTTGAAAGTGGATAATGAAGAAACTTGAGGCAGTCAAAATAAATGAAATAGCCTCCATGGATCACATTCAAACTTCTGTTTTAAGCAAAATTTGGGCAAGTGGTTCATAGCAGATTAGAAGTAGTGACTCGGAAATGGAAATGTGGTTGCCCTGTGTTGTAGTCAGTTTGAACTGCCATAATAAAATACCATAGATGGGGTGGCTTAAACAAGACACTTATTTCCCCCAGTTCTGGAAGCTTGGAAGAACAAGGTGAAGGTGCAGTCCTATTTTTCCTAGTCCTCTTCCTGGCTTGCAGACAGTCAGCTTCTCACGTGGCCTTTCCTCAGAGCACGTGTGTGAGGAGAAAGAGAGAGCAAACTCCCTGGTGTCTTTTCTTTTAAGGGCACTAATCCCATCATGACGGTCCCATCCTCATGACTTCATATAAACCTACTTACCTCTCAAAGGCCCCATGTTCAAATACTATCACCATACCATTGGGAGTTAGGATTTCAACATGTGAATTTTAGGGGGACAAAATTCAGTCCATAGCGCTCTGCAAAAGTCAGATATACCAGCAGCAGCCAAAAGAGAGAGTAATCCCTTGATAGGGAGGGATCAAAGAAGAACTACTGTAACATTTTATTGTTAAAAGGGACCATTTAGTTCAGGAACATGTTGCTCTGTGGAGGTGAGTGGTTCCTGAGGGCATCATGGTTACTCATGTTCATAATAATGAGTCTGATTCATTTAAAAAAAGGATGAAATATCTTCAGTGCTCTCTGTTTAAGAGGGCACTGAAATGAATGTAATCTATTTTAGATTTATTGTTGTCAACGTACTTAAAATATTGGTGTGTCTGCAGGTTGCAATCAGTCCTGTGAAACATCCATTTATGTGGAATGGTTGGTTTTCTGAAACCTGATAAATCTCATGCATTAATAAACAATAAGTATTTTTTAGGGTCAGTCAGTAGGATACCATTTCCAAAGAACAATTTTCTTTTAAACTGAATTATGCAAGAGCTAACAAAATTTAGTGTTGATATTTCAGCTGTTGAAAACAATCCATCGGGTTCTTCACTACTTAGCACCAAGGTAGAAAAAATTTATCACAGTGCTCTTTTATCCAAGCATGTCTATGCATACCAATCTCATTGCCCTTTAATTTAAAGGTGGTAGTAGAGATCAGGGGTACAATAGAAGAGAAAACTTATGTTTGACCACAGTTCTTCCACCTGGGCCAAGGAACAATGATTTCCTGACTTGTCTGCCTTTTGTCTTAGTGCCTTCTCTCCTGTTAGTAGCCTTTCTCTGGACCCTATTGTGATTGCAATGGCCAGATTTCCCTTTTTGCTGCCTGCCATACTTACCAACAAATCAGCGTCCATCTCCACAGTGAGGCTTATCTTGCCAAAAGTCGAGGATACTCGAAGACCATTGGCTGCAATTCCCTATATCAATCCCTACACTAGAGATGGCCTTGCCAATGGGACCGTAATAATTGACATTGCTTGGCAAAGCCTCCCCATACTCTGGATGATGTTTGGAAAGGTATAGTCGGCTTCTGCCTCTATAATTCTCTTTTTATATATGTTTTCATATATAAAAACCCCCATTTGGCTGATACATCCCTCTTTAGCTATATTAAAATCTTTGAGGTCTGGTCTTATCTTGCTGGCAGTGGTCCTGGGCTGTCTTGTTAAGGTGACACTGCAGATCTTGGTTATGAGCCATTATGTCCTGATTTTAGAGTTTATGCCTGGGTATAGTCTTATTCTTTTAAATCTGTGTTCTTGAGAAGGATGCCTCAGTGTAGTACCCCCAAATCAACAAGTACTGAATAACACTATGTACCAAGTGCTTTATCTGCTACTCACATCTAATCTATTAGCAAAGCCTAGTGGATATAAAAAATATATCCTGATTCTACTTCTCCTACTTCCACTGCTGTCAGTCTAGCCCAGGCCTCCACTCTTATTCATCTAGACACTGCCATGGTCTCCTAACCAGTCTCCCTTCTTCCAGTCTTGTCTGTTGGGCTTTTTCAACACAGCAGCCACATACAGATAGACTCATATCACTCTTCTGCTCAAATCATCCAACTGCTTCCTATGAGAGAATAAAATCCAAATGTTCATTGACTGGATACAAGGCCCTCCCTGGTGTAAGGGCACCTTCTTGATCTCATCTTCTAACATCTCCCCCTTGCTCACCCTCTTCACTTACGCTGGCCTCCAAATGCTTCTTTCGACATGCTAAGCATGGTCCTGCTTCGAGCCTTCTGCCCTTGCTGTACCCTTGTGGGGGCGCGGGGGGGGGGGGGAGGGGAGCGTGCAGTGGGTAGGCCTGTTTTTTCCCCTGATGTGTGCATGTCTAGGTCCCTCACTTCATTCAGGGTGCTGTTCATATGTCCTGTCGTTGGAGAAGCCCGCCCTGACCACCCTATCTAAAATAAGAGCCTCCCACCCTGTGCTGTATTCCTCTGTGTCTCTCCTTGCCCTGATCATTTATTTGCTCATTGATTTTTTGGTTCAACTCCCTCCACTAAAACATAATCCCCACTAGAGTTGGTTCACAGCTATGTCCCCAGTTCCTAGAGCAGTGTCTGGCAACTAGTGTGCCTTCAGTAAATA